CGATCTGTGAACAAGGCAGAAAAGAAGATATTATTTTTAATGCACTGGCAATTGGCAGGTAATTTCTTTCATAAACCTATATGCCTTCACCCATTTTGAATATTTTCATGTTCCCAGCCTCAGCTGGGATGTTTACATCTCTAACCTCCAATGGTGTCTGGTGTAGCATACATGCAATTCTTTTTCTGGATATTCCCTTCATGTCATACTCTTCATTTTGTTTATGTCAAATGATTTCAACTAAGGATCAGTTTTGTAGAGTTACTGATTAAATGGTCTGTCAGTAAGCTGAATTGAACTGGAGCATGTGCTTCTCATAATTTTTACTACATAGGAACAACCACTCCTGTTCAGTCCACAAGACCCTCTAAATAGTTTTTATGTTGGATCCCAATTGATTGGTGATGAAATAAAATTACAGGAACATCATAAACATGTAGGAACCTTTATCAGCATAGTCTTCTCTGTAATATTGAAATTTTGGTACTTCCAGAGCTAATGTATCTCTTTTCAATAGCTTGAGCTGAGTTTGTTTCACACAATTTTGTCTGCTTTCTTGACCCATGCTCATTTATTTTTGTGTCCCATTTTTATGCTCCATTCTTGAACCACTCAATGATGAAGGAAAAAATATGTTTCTGGTGTCAAGTTTGTTTCATCATGTAGTCTGTCTTTTTTGTTCATCTTATCTTTGCCATGCATAATTTTATAAAGTAATAAAAATCTTCCTTCTAGACTTACCAGCACAGCCTGTCCTACCTTTTGGAAACCTTTTCATCTTCCTCTTTACCTGTTCCACTTTACTACATTCTTTTGTGGAGAAGGAAGTCTGAAAATGCATATGACACACCAGGTACCAAGACACCCCTTGTATATAGCAATGCTTTCTGTTGTGGTCCCTATTTCTTTCTCAGTGACCTCCAGGCTTCAGCTTTTTATTTTGTAGATTTATGATGCTTCAGACAAAATTTTGAAGAAGTATTAGAAGATACTTACAAAAGTTCTTGGCAGTGAGGTTTTTTCCCTGTGGCATTTACACTCCTGTTCACAAAAATTTCTTGCAATTTCACAGAATAGGAACTTAGTGCAATAAAGACCCCCTGAAATTGTTATTAGACTTCATTTTTGCTGACCTTAAGAACTTAGTCAAATCAGCAATATTTTCATCACTTCCAGATTATTTTAAAAAATGCTGAACAGTTGAAGGCCCAGAACAAACCCTTTGAGAGTTGCCATTCCAACCAGTCTTCAATTCAGCTCATCATTCACTTGTTTTGCCCTCCCTCCCTGAGCTTGCCTATGAGGATATCATGAGAAACAGCATCAAAACCCTCGGTGAAATCCAGGTAGACAATTTCCAGTGCTCTCCATTCATATCTCAAAGCAGTTATCCCATTGTAGAAAGAAATCAGGTTGATTAAGCATAATTTCCCTTTGGTGAAGCCATGCTGACTGCTCATGATCAAATTCTTGTATTGTGCATTTTTAGAGATACTCTTCAGGATTAGCCATTCTGAAACTCAAGTGAGGCCGACAGGCCTGTAGTTCCACAGATCTTTCTTTTTACCCTTTTTGAAGACTTGTGACATTTGCTTTCTTCCAGTCCTCACACATGTCTCCTGACTGCCATGACCATTCCAAGGTGAATGAGAGGCCAAGATATGATGTCCTGTAGCACTTGCAGGTGCATCCCAGTTGGATGAACTTGTGGAAATCAGTTTTGACTAAATGATCTCTAACCTGATCCTCTTCACCCAAAGGAAAGTCTTCATAATTTCCAATGACAAGAGAGAATGCACCTGCACAACACTATTAACTACTTCGACATCAAGAGACTTTTTCTCCTTTGTGAGTATTTACAGTCAAGTGATTCTAAAGAAAATCATGAAACTCACCAGTCAGCATGAACTGATAGGCGTTGTCAGAGATGGAGAAGATGTGTGGAGGGGCCTCCTGGCGCTTCTTGCCTCGGTAGGCCAACACCACCTCGGGGTTGTACACCGGCAGCCACTTGTAGGGGTTGACAGTGACGCAGAAGAGACCCGAGTAGGTCTGCAAGGAAGGGATACAGCACGTTGCCTTGCCCTGAGCCTGGCCCAGCAGCTCCTGAGGCTGCCCAGAGGAAGCTGCTGCTGCCACTTACGTAGATCATCCAGGCTGCGTAACGCTCTTTGAGGTTGTACAGCACAGCGGGTTCGTGCAGGTGGGTCATCATGGCCATGTCCTCGATTTTGTCATACTTGGGAGGGTTCATGGAGAAGATTTGATCTTCTTTCACAGTCAGGGTCTGCCAAAAAATCAGAAAGATCCACATGTGTCACTTAAATCTCAAAGTGGGGATCAAATGTTGCCTTTGAGCCTTGTTTTTGACTCACCTCTCCCCCTTCAGTCTTGACAGTGACTTTGCCTGATTCCCTGCTCTCAATTTTGCCTTTCACAAAGGATTCTTTGGGATGAACCACAAAGACTGATGACTTGGCATCAAAAGGTTTGTTCTGAGCCTCAATTCTCTCCTTCTCCGATTTTCGGAGGTAAGGGGCTGCCTCCCCAAAACAAGCTAACTCAGCATCTGCAGAGGTCATGGCTGCAGTTTACTGAAGGCACATCAGCAGAGAACCCTGTGGAAGAAAAGAAATGTAACATGAATAGATCATACTTGTACCGTGCTTGCAAGGACAGCTTTTCTAATGATTTAAAATTGAGCACTTACTAGAATTGCTAAAACTACCAAAAGTTGCCTTCCTTGTGTTTAATGGTTCAAACCCAGAAGAGAAAAATATTGTTTCATCCCTAAATAATATATAATAACCTTGTAAAAATTTATTTTATTTGTGTCTTTCTGGTACTGTACAGATTTTACTTTGCTTTTATGAATTGTAGTGCCATATTTGAGAATATGAAATATGTTAAAAGAACCTTTTTATTCTAGTATAAAATAATTTTTCAAAGTATAGATAGAATAAATTTTATAGCCTTAAATGCAGATGGAAAAACTTAGTTGGAAACCAGTTTCAAAGGAAAAAATATATGCACATAATATGCAATAATGGGAATATCTAGTAGCTAGATCCAGTGCACTTACCTTGAAACTTTTCTAGTAGACAGGGCAGAGCACTGCAAAGACTCTTTTATAGAGTCTGGTTGGCAGGTGCTCTGCATTCTTCCCCTTTCTTCGGTCAAAACATTTTTTGGCAAACATTCTTTGGCAAGGCATTGTCTGGCAAACTGAACTAATGGCATAGTCATTTGATTTAATATGATATATTTAGAAATGTTTTGTATCTTACCAATGCTGTGAATGTATTGACTAAAAATAATTTGTCTAGAGACATAAGGACAGAAGTTCAGTTAGTTGAGGCATTTAGAAAATTTGGATGTAGGACCAGTGAGCTATACTGCTGCATTTCCAATGGTTGCTTCATGTACTCAAGGCAGATTTTTATTGCATGACTGTGGTGTTACTCTGACAAATCCTCAGTCCAGCATTTCCATCGCATCACAAATATCACTGTCACTGAAGCTCCTTGAAACGCGCTCTTCTCCTGGTCATGGGCATTTTGATTGTTAAAAGAGCTCGGTGGGTAAAGCTCAACGAAGAGCAGAGGGCAAGGTCAGTAAATATGATCCAAGGAGATATCCAACATCAAGCACTGGTGTGGGCATGAAAATCTTGCTCCAAGGATGATCATGCAACTTTCTGTTCCAAACCAGAGCTCAGCCCTGGGCTCCCTATGCAGGGCAGGGAGAAGCTGGTGGAAACACCCTCTGCCCTGAACAGGAGGAGTTCAGAAACAATCTGTGTAAAACTGTGAGTGCAGGGGGGCATCAGAAGTCCTGTGTCTGCACAATCTCTGACTTCCATGGACATACAGAACTTAGAGGACAAATCAGAGAATGGTTTGTGTTCAAAGAAACCTTTAAACAATCCTCTAGTGCAATACCATTACTGTGGGTAGGAATTTTGACTAGATCAGGTTGCTCAAAGCCTCATTCAACCTGAGCCTGCACACTTCCAATGATTCCAGGGGCATTCCTGTATTCTGGGGCCTGTGTCTCACTGGCATCCTCTTAAAAAACGTCACTCTTTTATCCAACCACAATCTATCTTCCCTCCAGTGTGTTTACTGCAGCACATGGCTTGGTGTTATCAGCAAACTTGCTGACAGTGCCCTCAACCCCACTGTCCATGCTCTTGATAAATTTGTTAAAATATAACACTGGTTTCAAAACAACCCGCCAGGGGACACAACTTGTTACTGGTCTCCACCTGAAATTCAAGCCATTGACCACTGTGGCTTCGTGTGTGATCATCCAGCCAATGTACCATAGCATATTTTCCAGAAGGATCTGCTCCATGATCTTGCCATGTGGAGAGGTGAAGCTGACCAGCCTGTAGTTCCCTGGGTCTTTCTTTTGCCCCTTTTTAAAAACAGGGATTTTTCAGTCAGTGAAACTTATCGGACGGCCACAGCTTGTCAAGTGTGATGGGTAGTGGGTTAACCACTTCATCTGCCAGTTCCCTCAGGATGTGGGGATGCATCTCATCAGGGCAACTCCCTCATCTCTTCCTTCCAAATATTTCATAGCTGTCACTCACAGCACATGTCAATCATGCAGTCCACCCCAACGAGTTTCTGTGCTAGCAATCAGGCCATAGTGCCCGTCTGGGCAGTGGCTACCAGCTCCTTCTGTCTGTTGCCCACAGTGCTGCACTGACAGAGAAGCACTTCATCTGGGCTATCGGCCACATCTCCTTGTTGGAGGAGTTTGTCCTTATTCCCTAAGACAATCCACTGGTTTGGTCACTAATTCATTCCCAACTTTGACTCAAGGACAGCACAGGGTCAAAGCAGCTCTGCTGAGTACAGAACCATCAGGTAGACTGCCTTGTCAGCAACTGAAACACAAAAGAGACAGAGAAAAAAACTGATCATTGGACAAAGATTGGAATTTGGGGGGGGGGGTGCGGGGAAATGCCATTATTGACTAAAATTCTTGATTGCAAACCTTTTAATCTAGTGTCACAACAAACATTGAATACAGAAAAGCTACAAATGCCAATATTGGTATTTTTCTGAATATTGTTATCAGTAAGAAAACTTTCCTTGAATATTTTAACTAAATTTATAAACCAAATTACTTATTTTAATAATTTTCACTTTAAAAATTCACTAAGATTTCTTCTCTAGAGTTGGCTCTGTCATATTTAGACTTCTCCTAATGGCAGTACTGACCACGGCCTTTGGAATATAAGAGCTTTCTTAGATCATGACTATGTATGAAACTAGAGAGGCTTTTTCTTCTAAAAACTTTGACAAAACCCTGCATATCAAATAGAAAAATGCTTGAAAGTATCCCATCAAAAAGCAAATTGAAGGAGTACCAATTTGTAAGAGAGGCCGGGGTCAGACAATCAGTTTCATATATACTAAAGGAAATATTATTTGATTTTCACATTGCAAACTAAAAGCTTTTTTCCTGTCTGAAAAAAGTATTTCTCAAAACTGATCTCTTTCTTAAAAGATTAATTGCTAAGGATTTTCCGTGCCATCTGGCAAAAACCTGCAACCGGTTGTAAGCAAGTCCAAGGTGATGTTACTGAAAATAGAAAAGCAGAAACCTGTTGCAACTCACATTCCCTAATGGACAATATATCAGCTCTTGAAATACAGCTCATGTATAAAGCACTTAAGGTGACCTCCAGAACCTTGAGATACATACCAATTATAGAAAGATATTACAATGATAAATATTAATATGATAAACATTTAAAGGATATTAAATCAGGTTTCCCTGAAAGATAAGGTATAAAAGACATTCTAAAATGAAAAATTAGTTGCAAATTATAATGGTTTTACATGTACCATGTAAGATTTAAACAGCTAAAAATCACAGCATCCCCATGTCTGTAAAAATAAGGAAGTGCTTTGCTTTGAGCAAAAGGATGAAATTTATTATTTATAGAATTCAGACAGAGGAAGTATGTAACAACTCTTACTTGAGACAATGAAAGAAGAGTGAGGGATGTCTGATGCTTCTCCTAGGGTGACAGCTGGGGATTCTCTCCCCTCACATTTGGAACTGAAAATCTTTGCTTTTCCAGTAGCAAATGACAAAGCCAGTCTACTCAGCAGAGCACTTTTGGGGCTTTTTTCTGTTGTGCTGTGCAGGATGTGGACCCAGCCTTGCAACAGGCAAGAGTGAGGCTCATGGCCAGGCAGCTATTCGGCTGCTAGTCCTTAGGAAAGGGCGTACTGAAAGCAGCAGTGATGCCTTAACATTGGAAGAAAAATTAAATAGATCCTGCCCACCACTGTCCCCTGGTTCTGCTACTGTCACTGCAGGGCTGGACTCTGCTCCAGCTGAGAGCAAAGAACGGCATACTCAAAAAGAGGAGAGGGAGAGTGAGCACAGACCCTGGACACAGAATATCCTGCTCAGCAATGTGAGGTGGGCAAGGTCTTGCAGTGCTGACATTTCCCCTGAAGAGACTGAAGCATGCTGAAAATAGAACCATCTTGAGAAAGACATCAAGCAGCTGACTCACTGTCTGCCAGCCCTTAGGATATGACTTCTATCTCAGACTCTGTGTTAGCAGAGAGAGAGATACACTTAGCAACAAGTAAAAGTATATACATACACAGATTTCCAGCCTATGGCCTGGCAAAATCTCACCAATTTTAGATTTACATTGTAAACTGGAGGCTAGAGTTTATAACATTCTAATGTGGAAAACTTTTCACAGCCTGGAAGAGTGTTATTTTCTTAATTACTTTTATCCATGTTTCAATATCTTTATTAATGAATTTCTTCAGTGGAAGAAGCCCCATGCTCCTTGTTCTGGTGTCAGAACCTATTACAAAAAATAAACCTTAGAAAAGAATGATCAGATCTTCATATAATTGTCATCCATTCTGTTATGCAGCTTGAAAAAACTGATTGAAAATGAGCACTGCCGACTTCTCACATTTGGCAAGGAAGGCCTTTTCATCCTGTCTATGTTGAATCTTATTATAAACAGATTGTCTTGTGGCAGCCAGCAGAGACCTCTGCAGTAGAAAATAAACTGTGAGGACCCATTTCCCCTTTTACTATGGTGCAGCTGTGAAATTATGTTCAATTTATAATTTTTATATGCTCATTAACTATCTCTTGCAGTCTCCTTAGTTTCTACTTTTCACTAGTTTCCCAGTACAATCTGAAATTTCAAACATGCTTTCAGGATGTTTACTTATCAAGTAGGACATCCATTCAGTGAGCAGTAGATGAAAAAGTACTCATTTATAGATTCACAAAGAAACTTTCACACCTTAGGTAGCATCATGCCTCACTGAGATTGTGACTGGGGAGTTTTGAGTCCAGAAACTTTTCCTGAAGATTGGCTGCTATGACATTTATTTCCAACTGACTGTATCTTTGGAGATAATTCATTCAAGTCAATAAGCATCAGTAGATTCCAATGTAACACTGATTATATTTATATGATAGACCTGTCCTCTGATCTAGGCCTTGTGAGGTTTTACTGCTTACAGAACGGCATTTCATGGGAAAGAAATGTAAAGATTTTGGGGGATAACAAGATGCATTGCAGAGTGAAATTGGGTCTTGATAAGTATTTACTACCACCACTAGATGAAGATTAAAAGCATGACTCCAATGTCTTACTTATTTCCCTAACAACATGAAGCTCACAGGGTAAAGCAAACAACTCTTGGTAGTGAGCCCTGGAAGGCTGGACAGAGCTCAGAAATGCTCAGCTTCTGCTCCAGTAGGAAACTTCCTGCTGTGGGTTGAGGACCTGGCGAGCAGGCTCATGTGCCCTATACAAACAGCTGTGTCTCCTTGTGCCTGGGGACAGGTCATTGCAGCTCCTCCTCAGGTAATTGGGGTCCCTGATGCCCTCATTGGGAACTGGGAGGTGCTCAGGGCCATGGGAGGGACCAGGAATGAGCAGGATCTGCATGGATGTGGTGGCTCTCTGGCAGACTATGGCCCATGTAAGCTAAGCTCAGACACAGCTGGGAGAGTAGAGGAGCAGTGAGCCTGTCCCACCCTGTGCCTGGGCAGGGGCTCCCTGCAAGGGACACGCCTCCAGGGACATGTTGAGGTTAGGTGGGTGAGGGTGAGAAGAATGAGAGCACTCATCAGTGAGGAAGCTGAGAAGGGGTAATGCAGGATAGGGGATGTAAAGAGAGGAGGGACAGGCAGTGGACAGAGAAGATGCAGTAATGTGGATGCATTGTAAATGAGAGGTTGATGCAGCCAAAGTCTTGCTAGAATGGAAAGGGCTTGAGCTCTGCGGTCATTCCTATAGGAATCCAG